GGCCACATCTTGCTGGCACCGATCTCTTTATGTAGTCGTCGCCAAGCAATTCCCTGAGAGGCCTTCCTCTCTATGCGGTTCCTTCCATTTTTCCGAACAACAACAACGACACTTTTTCTGTTGTCTATCCGACTACACGTGTGTGTCCCAATCGTGCCAGTTTCCTTTTCGTCGCTGCCTGCATCGTCAGGTGGTCTTCTTCTACGTGCAGCCTGTTTCTTACTTATACCTTGACTCCGGGTCCAGTTTAGATACGGCAGAATCCTTCCATATAGAAACACATTTTGAGTGCAGAACTTGTTCACGTTAAAATGCATTAACCATACGCACTGTGACTGGGTACAAACCCCGGTTTCTATGAGTGTGTTGCAGTGTGCTAATCCATTCCTTGGCCTTAATAGGTAGTCACTAACAGCTTTTTCCAACAGTCGTTGCAAGAAACACACACACACACACGTGCACAACAATAGCCGCCGAGTGGTGGAATTGCTAGTACAGTGCTTTGTGCCAGGTTAGGTGCACTTTGACACCACGTAGAGTGGTCTTGCAGGCAGGTCGTGGGGCATAACCCAGATGTTTGTGTCAGCACCTAAAACAAAGACAAAGATACCCCGTATAGCCTATACAAGTTGTTGGAGCAAGTGCTGTTAACAAGCACCTATGAAGGCCAGAACGGTGCACGATGGGATGGGTGGCCAACACCATACCCGGGCGCCTTCGTCTCCCCAGTGCTGCTGTTTATAGCCTGCACAGGGTACTCATTGAAGGCTGAGTCGACTCAGTGGAAGTCCAAGACCGGTTCGGATTTCCCCCACAAATGTTGGCCGTGAGCGGGAATCGAACTCGCATAACCTGGGTTCGTAGTTTAGGGCGCTAACCACTGTGCTGCCGATCCCCACACGATTGCGCACACACACACACTCCAAAATACAATCAACAACACTGTGTTTGATTTGAAAAGCAATCTTTGTAACGCATCAATGTACATTGGCACATAGACAGCATATGCACGCATCAATGTCGGATACAAGGTTGACAAACGGGCACCATGAAGGTTTCAAAATTGAACATTTTGTACGCCACCACGCATATGGCATCACGGTATAGGTTAAGTGCATTAACGTTTGACAGGTAAAATATTGCTAAACAACATTAGCCCTAAACCTATTAAAATTGCTGATAGAAATATCCAGTAAAACAAAAACAGGACTATGTATAGTGGATTATTTTACTTTTTGTATATTGTACATATGTTTTTCGCTGCTGCTGGAAAATAAATTGTCCTTATACAAAAAGCAGCGAGTGGGCCTTGATGAATATGTATTATTTCTCTGCACAGACCACTTGAAATGCATTGCATATGGTCCATCACAATCATCATCACCCCCATCATCATCATCATCATCGATGTCACAAGGATTTAATCCCTGGCCGGAATAACTCTTCGCCTCGCTCCTCAAAACCACTCACATCTCACGTCGCTTCATCAGCACGAGAGGAAATCACTTTCCCCACGAGCGAGTCCCGAGCTGTGGAGACACGTGGAAGGCACTGGCAGGCAGTTCGGGATGAGTGCGACCTTCTCCACGTTTCCATCAACACACAAATACAAGTGGATTTAAAATATGACGGTCAATGTTGAGAATTGGCATTCATTCGGTGGCTTAAATGTCCCAACATTTCAGAGTGCCTTGCACCTCATCTAAATCATTCCAGTGCTCAGATGCGGTTTTCTTTTCGATGAAAGCTGCCTCTGTATGGCACCAAGATGACGTAGCACTGTCCTGCCAAGTGGGCAATTAGTCTGTCAGTATGGGCCGTGGCGTTGTAGCTACATTAGCAGCTCGAGTGGTGCTCCAATCGGTCAGGTGGAGCCCCGATATTTGATTTGTCTCGCACGGTCGCACCTCGGCTATTCTATATCACGGCCTAATCGCATCAATATGCTCACGGTCTCGAACATTTAACGCTGTTGGGGGCGCTCCGTCTTCACAAAATGCAGCCACTACCAGCTCCGTAGTAGTGCCTCTTTGCAATATTACGTTACCGCTCTAATTACATTCAAATAAAACGTGGAACGTAATCGGAAGCATTTAAATAACAATGCATTAAACCGCGTTTTAAACAAGTTTGTTGTTGTTGTTGTTTGACACTGTTGCTGAAAACAAATGTCATCGTGGTGGTTGCAGAGGGCCCCCCCCCCCAACTCGTAGCTTTGTCCACCAGGCAAGGGGGGGGGGGCAAGGCACCACCTGCCTGCCCCCCACACTCGTTACGCTCCTGAGAAGGGGGTAAATGTTCACCTCCTGCCGTGAACTGCGGTGCCCCTTCTTGAGAGTTACCGGTACGTGTGACCGTAGTTTGCACTGAACAGTCGACCATCTGCTGTAAGCACCACTCCCTCTCTAGGCCAGTCCACGGGGAGTTTCCCCCATCAGCCCATCACGTCGGCATCCCTGCGAAACGTCCTCGGTTCAAAGGAAGCATTAAAGAGGTCGCCACCGAAGGGAACGATGTTGATCCAAACCAGGGGGCACACACACACAGATGTTCACATTATTACAAAATAAGAACATGTTTTTTTTACCCTTTTTGGCGGTAAAAGTGGAGTTGTGTTAAGATGTTCAAACACCAAATAGAAACCTTTTGCGAGGACTCAAGTTTACTGCGTTAACCACACACAGTACTTGCGGTGAACAAGCAAACAAAAACATGCTCTGATAGTATATAATGCATTGTCTTTGATGCTGACCGGTACATACCAGAGACAGCTTTCTTTAGGGCCTAGTCTCACCAGTGTCAGACGAGAGAACGCCAAAAGGCGAACAGCACCAATGCCACTGTCAGGACATTTTATAGCTCGGGGTGAGCAGCTACAACATGGGACCTTTTTTTGCCAGTATAAAATAATGAAAACATAAGAATAAGTGTTACCCTTTCTGGCAAGAAAACAGGTGTAGGCCAATCAGTTCCCAAGACAGTGCATATATTATCAGAGCATGTTTGTTTCCATGTTCACCACAAGTGTGGTTAATGCGGACTTGAATCCTTGCAACATTTTTTCTCTTTGGTGTTTGAACATCTTAACACCTTCTGTTTTATTGCCAAGGTCCCAGATGTTGACATGTGTGTGACGAAAAGAAGGGAGCGGGCATTGTCATTGACGAATGTGTTGAGTGGTTCGCATAGACGCAGTGCCGGATTATCCTAGTTGCAAAAGTAGCATTTGCTACGGGCCCCGCACTTTCAAGGGCCCCGCGCTAAATGCTTTCGAGCTATCAATTCCGGTTCAGTGATTGTGCACTTGCTCTATTACTATAGTACTATACCGCCTTCAACTTTTACGAACGACTGGGTGTTTAAGGTTAGCGATTTGTCGTATTATCTGGCTGTATAGCAAATGAAAAAATACACTAACTTTGCTATGCAAGTTAAAAATGTGTGTTTTAATATTTACGTATTTTTATTTAGGGTCCCTTTATAACATATGCTACAGGCCCCGCACTAGCTTAATCCGACACTGCATAGACGGTAGAACTGTGTATGACTCTGTGGAGCTCGTTAACCTACCAGTCCTACCAGGCTTCCCACATGCTTATAAATGTTTCGGAGTTACATCTGGGGTAGGGGTATTTAAGTGAAAACAGATCTTGATTTGAAGCTTTCGTGACTGCAGCAATCCATACTCGTTGGTTCTTTCGGTAAAGTCACGTGGGTAGAAATAAAATAAATAAAATCACGACGTTTCGATCGCAACACAAGCAATCTTCATCAGGTGGAACAACCACAGCAAGAGCATTCTGAAGTAGGCCTGAAGATTGCTTGTGTTGCGATCGAAACGTCGTGATTTGTTTGATTTTATTTTATTTCTACCTACGTGACTTTACCGAAAGAACCAAAGAGTATGAAAAACAGATTTTAGAATTGTTTTGTGCAGTAACTGGTAACTGGGCCGACCGAGACCATCAACTCTCAACACTCGAGAAAACAGTTTAATCTCTATGCGGCTGAACCCCGAATTCGAACGCAGAATGTCAGCGGTATTATCTGTTTCGGAGTCTTAGACAATTATCGTCTTGTGGACAGACTGGGCTCAACCATAGTAACGTGGAATTTCCATCACTGGCTCAAGGACACCAATGGAGAAGGGTGCTTTGACTTGAGTCGCCGCTGACCGGGCGAAGACCATCACCTCCAGGAGACTTAAGGTAATGAGTGACTTCAACCGAGATTCAAACCTCAGGACTCGCCCCGTGTCACTGGAATGGCCATCTCATTTTGATGTTGTTGTTTCCCCTAACCCCCGATGCTCACACTGTACCCCACTTGTGCCATCGCCATCACGGATTGTGTGAGGAAAGACGAAATCTGGCAGCCACAAGTCCATCACGGCCCTGGAGGTTGTTGCCATGTCTTAGAACTATTTCTGCAGTCACGTCAAGATGCCTCTTTATCCACCACTATTATTTAATAAAATGCCCCAAAAGAGTTGCGCAATGAGCGGGCAGTGCGGCGACTAACGCGCTGTGTTACGACACCGGCGTCCCGAGTTCGATTCCCGCTCACGACCAACACCAGCCTCCCCTAGGTCGACTCGGCCTCAAATGAGTACCTGGTGCAGTGTGCAAACATCGCCACTGGGGAGACAAATTGCGACTGGGCGTGGTGCTGGTCACCCATCTCTTCGTGTGCCGTGCCGGCCTTCACAGGTTGCTCGCTAACAGCGCTTGCCCCTAAAGTGTGTTAAGGCTATACGGGGGATCTTCGTCATTGTTTAATGCTCAGAGATGTAACTTCGTGAAGATTTCAATTTAACACAATGGGTTGTTTTTTTTTTGCTTTCCTGCAGTCATTGGTGGACTTGATAGCTTGGCTTAATCACGCGTGGCTGAGAGGCTGGATTCGAAGCCAGATTCAAACCCAGACTCTCAGGGGTCAGAGCACGGAGCTCTGATCCCAGATCCACTCACTGTGTTCCCAAGGCCGGATTAAGTTTGAAGGGGGGGGGGGGGGGCTGAGGCTATTATAGTTTCGGAGGGTTCCTCCTTATGAATTTAAATCCTTCTCTTGACTGTTTTACCACCAGCCATGCCCGGATGTTGCCAAACATTCCATGTTTATTCACCTTGGTGATTAACATTCTGGTTTATAAATGTGATTGTGAATTGTTAAGCGAAATCAAAAGTTAAAAGTTAAAACCAACAAAGCAATTCTATTGTTGGCACATCAGTGGTAGCAATACACACACAGTGACTCTGTGACTTGAACTGGTCTGTAATAAGGTCGGCACTAAGAAAGGGTTGAAAGGTATTCTTCTGTGACACTACTGGACATCTGTGAAAAAGAGCTTTACAGCTCATCGGATTCCTCCGGTAAAAATACACATTCTAATTCAAACCGGGACAGGTCGCAACCATAGCCACCCCAGCACACCTCAATACCTCCCTCTGCAGCACCTGCACCTGGCGATCTTCTTGAAGGCGTTCTGGAAGTCCCGATTGAAGTAGGCGTAGATGACGGGGTTGAGCAGGGAGTTGGAGTAGCCGAGCCACGTGATGAGGGCCATCAGGATCGGGGGCAACTCGCAGGGCGGTCCGCAGAATGGCACCACCAGCGCCACGACGAAGAAGGGCAGCCAGCAGAGCACGAACGAGCCCATGATGATACCCAGAGTCTTGACCGCCTTGCGCTCTCGCGCCATGGCGCTTCTCATCCGGTGCATCTGGGCCCGGTCCATCGCCTGCTTGGCTTGGAGGTCCTGCGATGGACCGAGTGTTTTCTGGTGGTCGGGAGGCTGCTGGTTGCTCTCGAGTTGCTGCTGTTGTTGGTGGTGGTGGTGAGGTTCGTCTGCAGGTCGTTGTTGATGCTGTTGCTGCTGCTGATCTGCAGGTTGCTCTTCATGCACCTGTTGCTGCTGATTCGGTTTCTGTTGCTGCCCCTCGTGCGCTGTAGATTTCTGCTGTTGAGTTTCCGTAGATTGCTGCTGCTGATGACGATGCTGCTGATCGGCATCATCATCATTATTATTGTTTGTAGATTGCTTATGTTGCTGCTGATGATCAGCTGATTGCTGCCGATTGTCTGCAGATTGCAGTTGTAGCTGCTCATGTTCAAGATGCTGATGATGATGATGACAACTGTGATGACCACGGTGCTGTTTCTGATCACGGTCACCAGTCTTTTGCCGATGTTTATGCTGCTGATGATCTTGAGGCTGCTGATGATCATCACCATCATGATGTTGCTGGCGGCGATGATGATGATGATGATGACGACGATGATGATGGTGATGATGTTGCTGATCTAGCTGCTGCTGTTTCTGCTCTTGCTGCTGATGAAGCTGCTGCTGCACGTGACAATGATTGCTCTGAGATTTATGTTGACGATGCTGTTGATGACATTTCTGCTGATGTTGATGACCATGACTTTGTTGCTGCTGGTCAGAAGAATTCTGCTCCTGCTGCTGCTGCTGCTGCTGCTGCTGCTGCTGCTCTGGTCGTTGACTGCTGCGGTGGAGATGATGTTGATGGTGACGATGGTGGTGATGATGCTGATGATGGTGACGATGATGTCCGTGATGAGACTGCTGACTATCTCTGTGCTCATGACCGCACTGTTGGGTGTGACTGTCATGATGATGATGATGGTGGTTGTGATGGTGCTGATGTTGGTGCTGATGATGCTGATCGTGGCTGCGTTTCCTTTCCTGGCCGACCCTCCCGCCGCCGCCGCCACCACCACCATCACCGTCTGCCTCCTCCCTATCCCTGATGACAATCGGCAGAAGCAAACCCTCTGGCCCGTCGCTCGTCCGTTCTTCCGACACCTGTGCGACAATCAGCAGAGTCGCTGGCTCGGAGCTGCGAGCCGTCACGGCGATGGGGCCATCGGCAGAGCCGTTGTCCGTGTGCGACGCCGACTTAAACGCAACGTTCTTCCGAATCCTGAACCTGGCCGCGCTGAATATCTTCCCGTACAGCACCAGCATGAGCACCAGCGGGATGTAGAAGGCGCCGAAGGTGGAGTAGATCGTGTAGCCCAGGTGCTGGCTGATGTTGCAGGCGTCCGGGTCGGCCCTGTCCTCCGCCTGCCTCCATCCCAGCATGGGCGGGATGGAGATGGAGAATCCCACGACCCAGGTGATGGCGATCATGAGCGCCGCTCGGCGGGGCGTCCTCTTGTTCACGTAGTCCACGGGGTCCGTGATGGCCCAGTAGCGGTCGAGCGCTATGGCGCACAGATGCAGGATGGAGGAGGTGCAGCACAGAACGTCGAGCGCGATGAAGGCGTCGCACACGGCCTGGCCCAAGGTCCAGCGGCCCAGCACCTGGTAGAGCGCGGCCACGGGAAGCACCAGCACGGACACCAGCAGGTCCGTGACGGCCAGGGAGCCGATCAGGTAGTTGGCCACGGTCTGCAGGGAGCGCTCCAGGTAGATGGCGGCGAGCACGAAGGCGTTGCCCGCGATGGAGCAGGCGATGAGGGCGCCCAGCGCCGAGGAGGTCGCGGTCTGGTAGAGCAGCGACGGCCCGGGCTGATGGTGGTGGTGGTGGTGATGGGAGATGTCGGTGCTTTGAGTGGCTGCTGCTGCTGCTGTGTCAATGTATCCCAGGGTGAAGCCCAAGCTGGAAGAAGTGTGGTTGAGAGCGTAGCTGATTTTCATAGCTCCTGTTTGCTAGCTCGTACCGATATACAAGATGGTGTTTTAATAAAGGAAATACATTAATTTTAACTGAACCTTTGATTGCACACTGTCACCCTCTTCTGAAATACATTTTTTATCAGAGGCCCACATGCTTCCTACTGGTCCCAAAGTCATGACTGCAAACACTGCTTTCACATTCTCTTCTCCCGTCAAAACCCGCTTCCAGGTAGAGCTTCTTTCAGAGCTCCTAACAAGATGGGATTCCCAAGGGGCTAGATCTGGGCTCTGTGCCGGATGTCGCACAAACTTCCAATCTAAGTCTTCATAGCAATTACATCGCTGCGTGCGCAGAGTGTGAATATGCCCTGCCGAGACTCCATTCCCTTTCCCAAGAGTCCATGGCATCACTGACGAATGTCACCCTTCACTTTGCTCTCTGGTAAGTGACAGTACAAAGCGCCTGTTGACAGACCGTCGAATTTTCCCGGTGGACATATGTTCATTGGTCGCTGTTCATTCCAAAGTAAGCCGTCAGCGTTACCCCGCCGGCAGAAGATTAGGACTTGATGTTGTTCTCTACAGGAGAGCCCGGTCGTTGCCATCTAGTCTGCTGGCGCTCAGCGTCTGGCTCAAATCGCTGGGGTCCCAGGTTTGCGTTTGTCACCACAGACGCACTCGCGGCTGATTCTCCCGCGTGAAAATGCCGCCACGGTTGTCTCCGCGTTCTTTCTGCTTGGTCCTTCGAGAGATTTCGCTGGCCTCTTTTTTTTTGTTACACCCTCCGACCACAAATAAGAACTAAACACGCATTTGCATTGACGGACCCTCCGCTATTTTCGCTGTTCAGGTGTTCATGGGCGCCGCCGTAGTTGGTGGCGCGAGACGTCTGCCATCCGGTTGGGAAAATGTGGAGGAGAGAAACATCGCACGTGAGTCAACGCGGTCGTATTGTAATGAATCAATGGGCAGAAAATATAGGAAATGATTGAAGAGCTCACTCAACGAGAAGGGCGAGGATGGAGATCAATGCGAACGAAAGGAAAAGTTATGCACGAGTTGGATGAACAGAATCGATATTCTCTGGGGAGACACAAATGGAATATGCAGCAGAGAATGCATTTGCAGGGAAGTTATTTAAAGGCAGACCGTGATCACGATGATGAAAACGAAAGGCAAGGTGAGAGCAGGATGGAGTGCTGATATAAAATGCAATTTGATAATGAAAAGCCACATTCCGATATACCTAAAGAAGGACGTTTTCAATCAGTTTACATTGCCTCCTGTGCATTGGAAATATCCGCAATGACAAAAGAAAATTTAACAAAAGCTGAGCATGGAGCACTGCATTCTTGGAATAACCGAGAGACATGAGCAGGAACACGTGGATCAGGGAACAAGTGGAGCGTTCGAAACATGTTGAACTGTCTTCCCCAGGGTCGACGTTTAACCACGACCACAAGTAACGGATGATCCTAGTAGCAAAAGTAGCTACGTATGTAGAAAAAGTAGCTACATACGTATGTAGCTACGGGCCCCGCACTTTCAAAAACTCCGCGCTAAATGCTTTCAACCTATCAATTCCTGTTCAGTGATTCTGCACTTGCTCTATTACTATAGTACTATACTGCCTTCAACTTTTACGAACGACTGGGTGTTTAAGGTTAATGATTTGTCGAATTTAACTGGCTGTATAGCAAATGAAAAAATACAATTACTTTACTATGCAAGTTAAAAAATGCGTGTTTTAATATTTGTTGTTTTTATTTAGGGCCCCTTTATAACATATGCTACAGGCTCCACAATAGCTTCATTCGGCACTTACTGCATCGGGCACTCGCTGAAGGCCAAGTGGAGCTGGGAATAGTCCTGGTTCGGATATTCACCACTGATGTTGCCATGGGAGTGGGAATCTAACCGGAGTTGCCGGGTTCTTAGCGGGGCATGCTAACCACTACGCTACCTCCGCCACCTCCACCACCACACGGAGTAACACAGACATACGATGCAGTTTAACATCTATCTTACCTATAAATATAATTTTTTTGTCTGTCTGTCTGTGTAAGAAACTTGTGAAGGATTTGGCACGCAAACCGTGGGGTTTACGTTAAAAACAAAGTACCCAGGTACCACGCCATAAGCCCCATGGCGAGCCAGCGCTCTTCCATTTTCCCCATCCGTCAACTTTAAAGTAGTTAAATTAACAATTTAGTGCTATTTATTATTTATTGATTTCCTTGCGCCGCTCAATGCGCGCCAAAGCACCCATGCGCGACAAAGCAGACCGGGGTTTGTGCCTAGCAAATGTACACGCGTTCGTTGGGAGGGAGGGAAAATGTATATTTCGTTTTAAAAATGTAAAAAAAAAACACAGTGCTGAGATAAATGCTTCGAAGTGTCATGTCCTCTTGTCCAACCCCAAGGTGTGCACTTACTACTATAGGGTCGGTAGATACTAACATTATAGCGCTTAGATACTATTATTGTAGAGCGGGCGGGGAGATGGTGGGGGGGGTGTAGCGGCCCAGCCTGCCAAGATGCCGCCAGCTGGGCAATCTAGGCGAGGCCGGGGGCTCTGCACGGGACTAGGCCTCATGACGGCACTGTCAAGTTAGTCGGTTGTGCTATAGAGTCGATATATACTGCTATCGAGTCAGTATCCACTGCTGTAGTGAAAGCAGGTTCCACCATAGTCAGTGTGCACTGCTGTAGTGAAAGCAGGTACCACCAAAAGCGGTATGCTCTGCTGTAGTTATAGCAGGTCACACCACAGTCAGTATGCACTGCTGTAGTGAACGCAGGAACCACCACAGTCGGTATGCACTATTGTAGTGATAGCAGACCACCACAGTCGGTATTTACTGCTGTAGTGAAAGGAGGAACCACCACAGTCGGTATGCTAAGCTGTAGTTAAAGCAGGAACCACCACAGTCGGTATGCACTGTTGCAGTCATAGTAGGTCCCACCACAGTCGGTATGCACTGCTGAAGTGATAGCAGGTATCACCACAGTCGGTATGCACTGCTGTAGTGATAGCAAGAACCACTACAGTCGGTATGCACTGTTGTAGTCATAGCAGGATACCACCACAGTCTGTATGCACTGCTGTAGTGAAAGCAGATACCACCACAGTCGGTATGCACTGCTGTAGTCATAGCAGGATACCACCACAGTCGGTATGTACTGCTGTAATGAAAGCAGGAACCACCACAGTCGGTATGCACTGTTGTAGTCATAGCAGGATACCACCATAGTCGGTATGCACTGCTGTAGTGATAGCAGATACCACCACAGTCGGCATGTACTGCTGTAGTGAAAGGAGGAACCACCACAGTCGGTATGCTAAGCTGTAGTTAAAGCAGGAACCACCACAGTCGGTATGCACTGTTGCAGTCATAGTAGGTCCCACCACAGTCGGTATGCACTGCTGTAGTGATAGCAAGAACCACTACAGTCGGTATGTACTGTTGTAGTCATAGCAGGATACCACCACAGTCTGTATGCACTGCTGTAGTGATAGCAGATACCACCACAGTCGGTATGCACTGCTGTAATCATAGCAGGTACCACCACAGTCGGTATGTACTGTTGTAATGAAAGCAGGAACCACCACAGTCGGTATGCACTGTTGTAGTCATAGCAGGATACCACCACAGTCGGTATGCACTGCTGAAGTGATAGCAGGTATCACCACAGTCGGTATGTACTGCTGTAGTGAAAGGAGGAACCACCACAGTCGGTATGCTAAGCTGTAGTTAAAGCAGGAATCACCACAGTTGGTATGCACTGTTGCAGTCATAGTAGGTCCCACCACAGTCGGTATGCACTGCTGTTGTGATAGCAGGTATCACCACAATCGGTATGCACTGCTGTAGTGATAGCAAGAACCACTACAGTTTGTATGCACTGCTGTAGTTAAGGAAGGTCCCACCACAGTATGCACTGCTGTAGTGAAGCAGGTACCACAAAAGTCGGTATGCACTGCTGTAGTGAAAGCAGGTACCACCACAGTTGTAATGCACTGCTGTAGAGAAAGCAGGTACCACCACAGTCAGTATACAATGCTGTAGTCATAGCAGGATACCACCACAGTCAGTATACAATGCTGTAGTCATAGCAGGATACCACCACAGTCGGTATGCACTGCTGTAGTCATAGCAGGTACCACCACAGTCGGTGTGCACTGCTGTAGTGATAGCAGATACCATCACACTCGGTATGCACTGCTGTAGTGAAAGCAGGTACCACCACAGTCAACATGCACTGCTGTAGTGATAGTAGATACTGCTATCGAGTTGGTAGATACTACTATAGAGTTAGTAGATACTAAAACAGTCAGTATATACCACTACCATCAGTAAATACTGCTACAGTCAGTAGATACTACTATACAGTCAGTAGATAGTACTGTAGGGCCAGTAGATACTACTACAGTCAGTAGTTACTACAGTCAGTAAATACTACTACTATACAGTCATTAGCTACTACTGGATCAGTAGATACTACTGTACAGTCAGTAATAACAACTACAGATATTCTTAGCTCTTTCGGTAAAGTCACGTTGAAGGGAAATAATAAAATAATGAAAAATATATAAAAACAATAAAAACTCACGACGTTTCGAACATAACACAAACGTAGTGAGAATTTTTATTGTTTTTATATATTTTTCATTATTTTATTGTTTCCCTTCAACGTGACTTTACCGAAAGACCTAAGAATATGAATTACTGCAGTCACGAAAGCTTTAAATCAAAACAACTACAGAGTCAATAGATACTACTTACTCTGTTGTATGTAGGGTGTATATATTTTTTTGAGGGGGGGGGTTGACAATTTTCGGAAACCTTTATATCAACTATTTACCCCCCACCTTCTATAACTTTTTAGACTTCTTATAATTTTGTTTTGGAGAAATGGACAAAGGGCACACCGGGCTTTCACAATAGCTTAGTGTCTGTGTATGTATATGTAATGCTTTTAAGAGAGGTTTTGAAATATCTTTTTCGCCTGCGCAACGACGGGTACTTCCAGCTAGTGCATTATAAATGAGAACGTCTACGGTTTGTAAATGCTATTCGTGAGAAATGACACCTGATTTTTTTTATTGGAATGCCATAATCGCCGACATTTGCAAAGCCACCTTAACCCAGGCGTTACGACGCTTTGCGGTGTACGAGTGACCGACTGCACTTAGTCACAAAGACAAAGGTCCCCCGCATAGCCGCAGCAGAACTGTTGGGGCAAGTGCTTTTAGCGAGCAGCGCCTACGAAGGCCGGCACGGCACACGAGGTGGTGTGGGCCGCCAGCACCACGCCCGGCCGCCTTTGTCTCCCCAGTGGCGATGTTTACACAGCGCACCGGGTAACCACATTTGAGGCTGAGTCGACCTTTGGGGAGACCCGAGACCGGTTCAGATCACCGTCTCCACTTGCGTTGACCGCGAGCGGGAATGGAACGCGTGTCGCCGGGTTCGTAGTGCAGCGCGGTGCTCACCGCTCCACGTAACCAGAGTGCACCACCGTTGGCGTTCAACAGACCAAGGCGCAGCCCTGCAATCGATCGCCAGCGCCACTGCTGTCGGACGGGTCTCAAAGTCAACGCTCCACGGAGCTCGACGGAGAGAGAGAGAGACAGAGCTCTCTTTGGACAAGGGTGTGTTGTTTTTGGCCTGCTCTTCCACTGCCGGCCGGACGTATTGGAAGTGGTGGTGGGGAGTTAGAGGGCCGTCCATAAATGACGTCACGCGATTTTGGATGATTTTGACCCCCCCCCCTCATCACACGGCGTCACAAAAAGTTAGACCCCCCCCTTTAAATATGACGTCACAAAGCTCTGCCCACCTCCCCCCCCCAAAAAAAATAAAACATGCTTCAAATCGCTTTAAACTATTGTCATTGTAGTGCGTATTTAATGTGGCGCTGCACTCTGATGTTGTAGGAAAAAACATTTATTTAAAAAGTCCATTTAATTCAGTAGAACGTGTTGTCTATAGTTATTTAAAGTTGCGCATTTTGATGTGACGTCACATTTCTCAAACCCCCCCCCCCTCGTCACGCATCGTCACAAATGTCTGACCCCCCCCCCCAGGTGCGTGACGTCATTTATGGACGGCCCCTTACCCCACCACCACCACCACCACACTGTTGTGTACCCACGTGTTTACGACTGCTGTTTGAACAGAGATCGTGGCAGGGATGATGTGTTCAGCTGCTCTGCTCATTTCTAATACACGTCCTTATTAATATCGACGGTACTCTATGCTGAACATACATTTAAAGATACCCCGCTGATTTATAACCACCCATGTTTTTGCTCTCAACGGCTGAGTGAATATAGTGGATGCGATGGCTCCCACATCGTGCAGAGGAGAGTGATAAAGGATTTAATTAAGGTGTATTGAGATTGGTGGGATACGTGTAGAGACTTTGAGACAACATGTTATAGCCGCTATTTCTCCCGGTTATTTTAGTGGGATATATATACGTGGATCGCCCTGTACAGTCTCTAACACAAAGCAAAATTAAAGACATCTATCTTCTTTGGTTCTTTCGGTAAAGTCACGTAGAATGAGAATAAAATAATAAATTGATAACCAAGAAGATGAAAAATAATAAATTGATAACCAAAGAAGATGAATCCTTGCAGTCACGAAAGCTTTAAATCGAAATAAAGACATCTACATTGAATATTGTGGTCTATTTTATTACATAGGTATGTACTATCTCTCCATATATATACTACTGGACATCTGTGAAAAAGAGCTTCATAGCTCATCGGAATCTTCCAATATAAATACATATTCGGGTATAATAATGATATCTATAAATAAAACCTATCCTAGCAGCCTGAGTTCAATCCCCGACTACGGCTAACATCAGCGGCGAGTGATACCTTCCCCTCTTCACCAACCTGCACTGACCAGCGTGGTGAAGTATGGCCAAACCCCCAGGACTCACCACGATGTGTGGAGGCCGCAATCCTGCAATGGATTGACAAACGTGCTGTAAATTTACATATAAAGCACAAAGCGATGTTGCCTTGGATATATAACAATTAGCCGCAGCTGGCTTCTGATTAATCAGGCCTCAATTCCTCACGGAAGTTTCCTCAACCCCCCCCCCGCCACACTATTTTCCAGAGCTCAGCCCTGTACAGCTCCATCTGAAATGACGCTCTGCTTGGAATTGTTGCATCTGCTGCTGCTTCTGCTGTTGCCGTCTTCGTGGGAGAGAAGTTCTCGCGCAGAGAAACCGCCACTGGTCAAGGATCCACATCTGGGGCGGAGGTCAAAGTCATCATCAGAACTTGGAGGAAGAATCCCACCCGATACTATTAGGTAACTAACTAACTGCTCGAGTTATGTGCCAGTTAAAAAAAACTGCACGTAGGAAGATAAACGATTTATTGTAATTCTCATCGCGCCTCCCCCACGGTCATCCATGCGTTGGCGGCGTTTTGTCTGCTCATCTAACAAAGCGCTCTCAGATGCGCTACTTCTGCGGCCGTCTGTAACGCTCTTCCTATGTTAGGAAGCCACTGGAGCTATGCGCTAATTTTATTTGGTTGAAACTGCTTTTATTGTGTTTAGTTTGATGTCCTTCCCCCGCTACCTCCCGATTATCACGAGTGGCTACGTACGGTGCGAAAAAAGTTCAACATTCAGTACATACATGGTGTAAAGTTCGGTCTCCAACTCTTATTGTCCAAAATAAAGGGTTTTTTTGGGGTAGATCGCGTTATTTATAAATGTGTCGTAACCCTCCACTCTGTCTCTCTACTGGCGGTCTCTATTTACGTGCTATGATGGAAAGGGTCGTTGCTCAAAACGTCACCTATTATGTATTTTTACTTTTATTGCGTTATTGACAGGTGTGTTGCGTTTTTTTAACAGCTCTTCGGCATATTGATGACCTGCAGGCTGCCTCCATTGCTTCTCATATCGTCTCAGTTGCCTCCCTTTGCCTCTTCTACCGCTGCTACCTATGCTCGTGATCTTCTGAAGTCTCGCAAATTAAAGATCATGATAATTGAGTGCATTTGGCATTCGCTCACATCTTAATTCTCGCAGCGCAAGGAGGCTATCACGAAGGCGATAGTCAGTAAGGCGGTGGTGATGTTGCTTACGAGATTTTACCAATTAATGTCTTCACATTTGGATCACGACACCGGCACACGTAGCCTACTCTTTGTCGAACAACGCCAAGGGAGTAGGAAGCGACCGGCGGTATTAACCAGGACGGCCTATGGATTCGAACCGCGGACCTTTGCAACAAGCGGCAAACGCGCTACCGCTGGGCCAAGTCACCGCCGCCTCTGCAACTCACTCGCGTCCGCTCATCTTGCCTCACCTCGCCGTGCCAGTCCCATTGTCATCTCCACGCTATTCAACTCTGGAACTTCCACGAAGCTCGTGGTCGACCCTAAATCGCGTCCGTACGAATCATGGCAGATGCGGATACCTGATGCACAATTGGAAAATAAAAAACAACAAAAAACTCTCCAGCGGTGTGCGACTGCGGTCATCCAGAACAGACCGTGCAACGTGTAGCGACGCAGTGCCTCGATCCAGAAATACGAAGGAGACATCACGTCGATGATGATGATGATGATAATGCGCTACACCGCTACTGCTCCTGACTCGGTTGTCTGCTGGCTTGGCCGCCTGAACGTGAAATTGTGGTCGTTGCTTTGCGTCGACATCAGCAGCCGTACGGAAGAAATAAGAAGAACTGTGGAACTCCTCGGCTCCCTCCTTCACACACGTACACGTGAACACACGTTCATAGAACGTTCACTGACGGCACTTCGTCATTGCACTGCCCGACAGGGGTTTGGAAGAAGGCCTCGGGAAAACGTTCCATGAAAAATGAAGTTCCGATTCTAAGCCATCTGTGTGGTTTACGCGATCATTCGCATTGGATGTGGAGATCATCAGCAAACGTTCAGACGCCACTCGCGACTGATGTTCGCCGTGGCCGGGATTCGAATTCTGGTCGCCGGGTTTCCTAGCGCAGTACATGAACCAATGCACCACCGCTCCTCTTACACACATTAGTATTATAAACATATACTGTATATACTACACACACGATGTTCATCTTATTTCAGTTAATTAAATAATATCACTGTCGTCTCATTCGGGGTGAAGTGGTGGCGCTATGACTTGAGACTACGAATCCCGGCTACCCGAGTTCGATTCCCGCTCGCGGCCACCAACCCCAGTGACGATTATCTGAACCGGTCCTGGGCCTTCCTTAGGTCGACTCAGCCTCAAATGAGTATCTGGTGCGGTGTGTAAACATCGGCTTCACTACCGCTCCCCACAAAGGTAGTCTCTCATACACACACAGCCCAGATTTTAAGACGCACGCCCTAACTTTTAGTTTTAAAATACCGGGGAGTGGGGTGGGCGTCTTATAATCCGGATAACGCGGCTACACCATCCAGACCTGCCAGCTGAAGACCGCGTAAATATAAACAAATACCAGCACAACGTTATTAAATATGCACCGTTGTCATTCCGTGTTTCTATAGCTATAATCGTGGCTTCATTTCACACTCGATAATTCCCAGACCGCTGGCTCGCCTTAAGTAGAGATTTTAGCATTGGAGTAAGGCACTACCACCACAGTACAAGGCACCACCTATCCATAATAATGATTATATAGGACTGTACCCAATATTCCTATCAAATCTATGAATCCATACTCTTTGGTTCTGTCGGTAAAGTCACGTAGGTATTTTATTTTATTTTCTACCTACGTGACTTTACCGAAAGAACCAAAGAGAGTGGATTCCTGCAGTCACGAAAGCTTCAAATCAAGATTAAAATCTATGAACACATTTAAATACAATCTATGCACTCACCGTTGTTGTCTGAAAGGGTTTTCGTTAAAGAAGACTCGGTTGTAGCGCTGTCAAATTAATTCCGCAGAACAACGTTCCGGACTGGCTTCGAATGAACCGCATCGCCAAGTGCTTTACAACTTATATAATAATAATGATGTCGTTACTGACTGTGTGCAATGAAATAAGTCATTGCAGGGCTGCGCCATTACATTTGCGACGGTTTAAAAAAAAAAGCTACATTTCTTTGCACCAGGACTGTGCTTAGTTATTTATGTGTGTGCTTGTTGGGACGAGAGTGGAACGCGTTGCCTCTCCGTGATCGACGGCCAGCAAATGCACAACGACTGCCGATGGCTCTTAGCCCTCATTGCAATCTCAGAGAGGGGGAGAGAGGGAGGGGGGCGGACTTCGCTCCAACAATTACAGCCAAAGGCCCCCACGTGGACACCCCGAGTATTCAACCGTACCGTGGGATTCATAACCACACGGTTGGCGGGAGGAGGTGGAGTGTGGGGGGGCTTGGGGGGGGGTCTGGAGATTGGGGGGTGGTTGGCATTCGTGGTCAGATGGAACGGAATGGGGCCACGTGGGGTTAATGTTATAGTTACACGGGAAATGCGATGTGCAATTTGAATTTATGTAACGTCACCATGAGAGTGGTAGACTTCCTGCCGCAGGTGTGTAATGGTCACCACTCCGGACTTGCTTCGCTGCAATCCATAGGTCGCCGCTTTGATTCGATCTGCGGGCGCGGCAGTTAAAACCTATGGCCAACCTCTCTTAAATCCACCCGCCTTTGTCCATCCAGCAGCACGTGTTTAATTGGTGTTTCGACTTAAATTGAGCATTGAAGCCTTTGATCATCTCTTGTTTACAGCCATGGCCCACCGGTGAAAATTCCACGTTCCTGTGACGGGGACGAGTCATTCCATATCTCAGCTGTATAAATGGGTACACATGGGTACAAAGACACAGATCCCCCATATAGCCTTAACAGACTTCGGGAAAGTCCTGCTAGCGAGCACCTATGAAGGCTGGCACTCCACACGAAGGGGTGGGTGGCCAGCACCATGCCCGGCCGCCTTTGTCATCTCAGTGGCGATGTTTACACACCGAACCAGGTACTCAATTTATGCTGAGTCGACCTAGGGGAGGCCCAGGACCGGTTCAAATAACCGTCACCGGTGTAGGCCGTGAGCGGGAATCGAACCCCGAGTCGCTACTCCATCGCCCCCCCCCCATGGGTACATGGGTAGGCCATTGAGTAGACCACCACCATCGCTGTCACTGCCACCATTGCTCATTTGAGCGGGGAGATCCTTCGATCTTGACCTGACATTTAGATCGCTTCCTCTCACGGCGATGGGTTTATTGACGGGGTATTATTGATGGACGTTCGCCAGAGCTATTGACAGGACTCCCAAAGCCAAGTGAAGTCATTACGATTCAATTACAGTGCAACGGGAAATTTACAACGCCACTAAACGTGACCGCATCACGACGCGAGAAACACCCACACATTGTGAGATTGTGCAGCAGAGGGGGGCATTTTATTTCTCGGAGAAATGGGGAGTTAGAGGGATGAATGTATGGGGTAAAGTGGAATTCAGTATGGATTGAGACGTCAGGACAGATGCAAAGGATCAATTATGGGTCGAGGGGAAGAGACGTCTTAACTCTAGACCTGAGCAGAGGAGTGAGATCTGCATTGTGGACAGACAGGTGGAGGGAATTCCAGAGATAACCAGCGTCACCTTTTTGAGTCTCATCAACAGAGGGTGCCATACCCACATTGTAATCCCGTAGCTAAGCATTGCAATCAGTCACGCTTGGTGACGTTTCGGGCAAAGGCCCATCTGTCTCGCACCTCCGATTAGCACGATTGGCTACGTACGATGCGAAAGAAGTTCGACATACATATATACAGAAATCTACATCTCTGCCATGGAGAAGGGCCATTGCCCAAAACGTTCCCAATTATGTTTTTTTCTATTTCAGGTTGCGTTATTGACGAATGTGATGTTTTTTTTGTTATCTGTGCCCGTGCACCACTGCCAACGCAGTATCACAAACGCGCCCTTCGTGTGCTTGCCGGTGGCTTGTCGAAGAAGTGTTTTTTTCACGTCAAGGTTTGGATTGTGTTATGCAATCTCACAAAAAAGTGTAACATTCATAACGACTTAATTTTACTTACCAACCAAGAAAGCCTCACTGAATCTCAACTCAAATTTCATTTATCCACTGATTTTCTGCGCGCACGTGTCTGTGTGTAAGGGGAGCGGTAGTATAGTGGTTAGCGCGCTCCGCTACGAACCTGGCGACCCGGGTTCGATTCCCGCTCACGGCCAACACCAGTGACTGTTATCTGAACCGGTCCTGGGCCTCCCCTAGATCGACTCAGCCTCAAATGAGTACCAGGTGCGATGTGTAAACATCGCCACTGGGGAGACAAAGGCGGCCGGGCGTGGTGTTGGCCACCCACCCCCCTCGTGTGCCTTGCCGGCCTTTATAGATGCTCGCTAACAGCACTTGCCCCTACAGTATGTTAAGGCTATACGGGGGATCTTTGTGTGTAAGGGGAGCGGTGGTGTATCAAGATTGTACTATACCAGGGGTCGGCAGCCAAAACAATTATCGCCATTTCTTTCCAATTCGGTAATAAAAAAAAATCAATATTTAAAGAGCCGCTATGCCCTCCGGTGAATGCGAGACGGTCATTAATAAATGACGTCACGGAGCAAGTCGTTAAAGAGCCACCGCAGGTTGCTAACCCCTGACCTCTGCCATGCCCCCCCGAGTCTCTGCACTCCGCTTTCACGAACACGCACTAACCCAATTCGGTGAAGTATGGTCAAATAATCCGTCCCCCCCCCGTCCCCTCCCCAACCACACGCATGGCCATGGGGAGGTCCTCATTCAGCAGGTGATGACTGAAGCGCCGTTTATATATTTCTACATTTTCTTTCAGAGCATGAAAGCATTCGCATTAGGCCTTGACAAACATCGAATATGCACACCAGCGTGAAGATGAGATGGTAATTTTTTTTTTACTGAGATTAATGTGCCTCAAACTAATTTTATGAATCCAGTCCAGTCGTTACAAAGCATCAGGTCAAAACAGCCATTAAGGTATTTTGTTCCGCATAACTCTGCGTGAGGACAAATTCTAGTTCGTTTCGTTTCAAGTGTTCCCACAGCCTTGGTCGCATTTGACATTCAAACTTTATTCCACGCCCGTCTCTATCGGCCACGAGGGTCAAACAGCGGATCAGGAGCGGGAAACGTACGACGCCAATCCTCATCGTCATCTTCCTCGCCAGTCAGATATTTACAATGACAAACGCGCGCTTGGAAAGCGTCAGGAAATCCGCGAATTGTCTTGCTTGCTTTAGGTGATAAGTGGAGCCGCGAGGTAAAGTGGAGCCGTGGTCCGCTTCGTTGCGGACAAGGGGCATGGTGCTCCCGTTTCATAGCTCGTTAGAATAATGTATTTTTGCTGTAGATGTCGATTAGCGTGGTTGGCTGCGTACGGCGCCAAAAAAGTTCAACATACATGCAAATACATATTTAGATCTTTCACATACAGTGTGCGCAAGTTTTGGTCTTTCGATAAAAAACAATTAAGTGGCGTGTCAATAATTCGTACTCAAAGAGTGTGTGATTGCTCTGCTGGCTTTGCCTTCAAATGTTTTCAAATTTCAACATTCAAAAAATTATGCAATCTGCAGATAAATTACAGAGAATAGTTTTGCTGTTTATCTGCTACCAGCATGGGGTCACTTCAGACCAAACCCAGACATATTTCTCAGTCAACATAATGTCTATGAAGACTTTGCAGTTTAACACGCAGTAGGCTTTCGCGACCAATATTATCCATAATAGAGATTTATTATGGGTTAGATCGCGTCAATATAAATGTGTCGTTAAACCCGCCACCACCCGACAGCCAATTGATAAGGTTTGTCACGTAAACAAAACGCGCCAATTAGTTACTCGTTCAGCACACCGGTGTGTGGGAGAGTAAACCCACAACATTTACAAAAAGTCTTTGCAGTTTACCGTAACAAAACGTTCAACAACAATGCCAGTAACCAGACCTCGGTGCAAATCGATTCCTGCCACTCGAACGCAGATGCCAACCCCGAGGCTGCCCGGGTCAAACGCAAGACAGGTGGCCACCCCGCCATGGGTAGCAACTTGCCGTGCCACGAACAAAAGAAGCAGACTCTCGGTGACGACTTTACATTATTCGTGTCTCTTTCTCTCCAACGAGGAATCTTTGACACGCGATGCTAAACGCCATTGCCGGACGAGCCTCGTAGCAAAAGTAGCTACATATGCCACGGACTCCGCACATTCAAGGGCCCCGCGCTAAACGCTTTCAAGCTATCAATTCCTGGTTCAGTGATTCTGCACTTGCTCTATTACTATAGTACTATACTGCCTTCAACTTTTTTGAACGACTGGGTGTATTATCTGGCTGTATAGCAAATGAAAAAATACAATTATTTTACTATGCAAGTTAATCATTTGTGTTTTCATATTTACGTGTTTTTTTAGGGCCCCTTTATAGCATGTGCTACAGGCCCCGCACGAGCTTAATCCGCTCAACGCCAGGAACGTCTCCTAAAGGACGATCGGAACGATGTGCTGCACGAAAGTGGTTGATGAGGCGAGATATAATGGGAGGGGGAGTGGGGGAGGAGGGGGTCACCGTTTTAAGTTCACCTGGATGTCACTCATGCGTGACAGATTCAAGTAAATCCCCCTCCACAAAAAAAAAACCACACAATAAAAGTGCCCATTAAAAAAAAACGCCACCACATTAACATCGTTCTCACAACATTCTCTACCAGCTGTTGTTACTGCGCACAGCTGCCACGGGAAGGTGTCCTTTCTCGCGATCACTACGATGATTATTGTCCTTGCGCCCGACATGAAACTTCTTTGGCACTCTCGTTGTTGTCATCGCGCGGCTTCGTGCTGAAGGAACAACAGCGGCGTTACGCATAAAGTCACGATGAGAGGAGAGTGAGACATCAATCACCCCATGGTCTGCCGCTTCCTCCTGCTCATCCGTAAGATGGGAGTTGCAAACCAGCGGCAGGGATGTATCTGAAATACCCCTCTTTTTATTCCGTCCCCAAGAATGTTATTGTTTAATAATGATGATGCAATTTGTAACGCGCGCAAAATTTGCAGACAGAACGGGCGCAACTCAGAGGCGCGGAGCCAAGCTCAGAGTCACTCGAAAATCGCTGTCGTAGAGGTAGGTGAGTTTGTAAGTGGTCATAAAGATATTGCCATTATTTTATTTCCCTCTATATGTTTTAACGTTGATTCAATACTATTTCAAAAATACATTCCTC